CGTGCGTCTGTGTGTGTGTATCTGTGTATTCGTCTAGTTGCTCATGATAGGATAGTCATGTCAGGGCTTACATTTGCAAGCACCCGGCCATCGTGCATTGGGCAAAAGACGATGCGCGTGAGTAGCAGATTGTGATATTTGGGGAAGGCGTAGTAGGCGCGTATCTGCTTGTGAGTGTTAGAAGGGGGGTCACTTGTATTTTTGCTTCTTTCGATGCTTCCATTGATAGCTCTGTATACAATCGCGTGTTGAAATCTCATGTGAATCAGCACATGTTCATTCTGTGAAGGAAATAAATGTGTATACATGTAAATATATATGCACATTTCATAACTTGATTCGCCTAAGCTCTTAAGCTTTTCTCTTTGGCTTGGGCCCATATCTCGTGGTTTGCCCAAGTTCAATAGCGGACAGACAATCATGCACCCCTCACTAATTCACTGGATGTCTAATGTGCGCCATTTTGTTCGTTTAGGTCCGTGTCTTGCGGTTCGTCATGTGTAACAGTGTGGAGGAGATTATGCTGGAAGCCGCCACTCGCAAGCTTAACATGGACAAGCGTATCATCCAGGCCGGAAGGTATTGCTTCTGTTCCACATGTGCATATATACACCGACTTTACATATTCGTTGATGTGGTTCTCATTCTTAATAATATGTCCTCCACAGCTTCCGCCAACCCCGACCCCTTTAATTCAATGTGTGCATGTGGTTTTTCTGGTGCTATGTACTTCTTTGCAAACTCACGCTATTCCTTGGAATCTCACCAGATTTGATCAGCAGACTACAGCCATGGAGCGACGTGACATCCTTGAGCAGGTTTTAAAGAGTCAACAACACGACTCAGACACTGAAAGCGAAAGCGAAAATGACGAGGACGAGCAGGACGACGAAGATGTGGAGCGCGACGAGCAGGGCAATGGTATGGAATGAGAGTGTATATTAGTATATATATATCTATGTATTTATATATCTATGTATTTATATTTTTATATTTTTATATTTCTATATATATATCTTTTTATATATTTATGTATCTATATTTGTATTTTTATATATTTATGTATGTATACTATATATTTTCATAGTCATATATATATATATATATATATATATATATTGAGATAGTATGAAATGTGAGAAATGGAGAATACTTAAATATTCGGGAGACTAGACAGTCACACTACAATGGGACCTACAGTCCAGTATAGTACACATGAAGTAGAACCAACCGGAGCTTACATTGTAACAATTCAATTGGGGCAAAAGAAGGCACGTTTTTATACGCTTGTGGAGTGATCTTGACGACAAATAATCTGCACGACCGCCTTGCAGTCGGAATGCTAACATAGGATGTGTCGTCAGTTGAGACAAAGTCACCGATTTGGGAAATTTCTTGTTGTTTTAACAACGACCACCATACCCAACGCAGTCCGAACTAGTTATATTCCTGAATTTATATGACATAAAGGACCACCACACCCAATGCATTCCAAACTAGTGCATATTTCTGATTCATTCTGGCATATATGACCACGCCCAATGCAATCTACACTAGTGGATGTTTCTGGTTTTATCTGATCTAAACGATCCCAACACCAAATGTAGTCCAAACTAGTGAATATTCTTATTTATTTTTTAATACAAACGACCATTACACCCAACGTAGTCCAAAAAAACAAGTGGAGTGGCAACAGTAAGAGCGTGCGTTACCACAATTGGGACGAAATCAACGATTTTCTTGCGCGTTCCGATGAGGAGAAAGCCATTTTTGAGGACATGGACCGAGAGTTACAAGAGAATGAATCTATTTATAGAATCACAGACCGCTTCATCAAGAAGGAGGACATTCCGGAAGTGTACCGCAAAACGGGGGCTGAGGTCAGGACGCTACTTCTTACGAAAGAACCTGAATATGGCAGGGGTGTCAGGTATGTGATGGAGGGGGTCTGTAGCTGTGTGTGATACTCGCTATCCACCACTGCGTTTAGGCAAGTTTGTGGAAAAATGTGGGCAATGTATTGCCCGTATACAGCATTTGAAGCGTGTGTGTGTGTGTGTGTGTGTAACAGTTAAACGCCTCGTATGGCTAGAGTTGTATGCGTGTACGTAATTTTCTGTTTGGATTTGTAAAATGTTTGCTCATCTATAGCATTCGAAGCGTTTGTGACCAGGGTTGTGTGAGTGTGTAATATTCATTTTTCTGTCTGAATTTGGATGCGAGTTAAAATTTACGCCCGAAGGTTATGTGCTGTCGGCACCTACGAAACAGCTATTCCCTTACAATCAGCTTCAACCGCAGTTGATATTTAATGTAGGCTCAAAAAAGCGGAGACGGTGGCAGCGATGTATAGCTCAAATGACTACATGCATACATTCACACTTCCTCTTATTCATGCGTGCAAATATGCATGTCTTGTACGCATATACATACATACATACATAAATATATACATACAAACATGCACATATACATACATACATACATATATTTGACTATGCACCTCCTGCCGTACACAGAGAGCGAGAGGCCGTGTCATATGACGAGAACGTGTCTGAGAAGGATTACTTCTCTGCTGTTGACAAGGGCATATCCGTGTCGGAAATGAGGGAGCGACGCGAGGCGAAGAAGAGACGGCTGAACCCAGGTAGCGAACAGCATACAAGCAGCAGTTAATGAATACTGTATACCTCATATATATATATACATATATAGGAAATACGTTTTAAATCTGTGGTAGTGTATTTGATGGTTGTATTTCAATGTCAGTCAATAACGAATTTAGTTGGTGAAGCAATTCCTGTCGCGGTGGCTATGCTTCGAGGCGTCTTTTGCGATGGAACAAGATTGTTGTATCACATATCTGAACGGCACATAAATATGATTTCGCTGAAGTCGTATGTTGGTTTTAATGTGACAGAAGCTGTTATCCTGTTTTATTTTACTCTATCCGTGTAGTAAGTGGGTCGTCGATATGGCTACATAAATGAAATTTATTACCTACACTCCTAATTGTCCAAGCACAGTATAAAGCAAGTAAGCACACATTATTCGCCGCGCCATGAGACCCTATTCTCACCTATCTTAAAAAAATTATGAATTGGGTATCTTTGTTCAATCTTTTCCTATTACCGCTTTCCAATACTTAGAAGACGCCGAAGTGGAGGACCCTTTTGGAGAGACACCGCCGCGTAAGTAAACATGTGCTCAGTTTGATTCTCGTTCGTCTGTGTATTTTCTCGAGGGTGCAGTGTTGTGATTTTGTATGATACATTGCTCCTGTGTAGCTGTATTTATATATTCACCGGTGTATGTGTGGATATCACCACATGTGTGCACGTGCATACATCTCTGTGTGTCGTTACGCACAACTTTTTATATATTTTCTATCCCAGCGAGAAACATGTATGATAGTTATGATAAAGCATAAGTGTTTGCTGTATTTTATCACTGTAGGTACCGCGAATGGGCCACACATTATCTCATGGTGACAGCATATCATACAACCCGTTTAATACACCACATTTTGCGTGTTCTTCCGAAGTCGTTCCTGCACTGTTGTGTTGATTCGTGCTGTATGCGCTTTCCTGTTTAACTCAATTGTGATAGTGCATGGACCGTTCATGTACACATCCTATAAGTAGTGCCCGACAAAGACCTCCTGTGACAAAGACCTCCTGATTCTGATATAGTATTTGTGTGACTAAAGCCGGTATGCCATTATCGTTGTTGTGCATGCGCTAGTCGAATTCGCATCCAGAGTATCGGCCATCGGTAGCTGAACAATACATTCACCAATAGTATTATTCGGTCTATCCAATAATCTCTACTAATCAGGCGTTGCGAGCCCGGACCCTTTTGGTGAAACACCGCCACCTCCTGAAGTGGAGGAACCTGCCGACGAACCACAAATCGACTTGCAGCTTGGATCTGGATCCGAATCGGAAAGGCCGCCAATTCAAAAAATCAAAATACCGTTTAAACGAGACAGGACAAAAAAGGAGAGGTTAAAGGACAAGGATAGACCGAAGGATAAAGACAGGTGACTGATCGTGTGTACCGACTCCATGTGTGCTTTTTTTTTGTAAGTGTGTCTATGTACTTGTGTGTGCTTTGTTCGTGTGTATATGTGTGTGATGTGCGTGCATATCCAGAGCTGTATATCCCAATGTGTGTGCGTGTGTTTAGAGTTGTTGTGTATATGTATTCAGGGGGTGGTGTGAGGATGAGGGAAGGTTGTATATTCCTATGCACTTGTGTACGAGTCTCACATCCCGCGTGTTGCATCTCATGGTATATCCACTACGCACGGGTGCAAATGAGAAATACACACCCGTGCATGTACTCCAGTGATGTAGCATTTGTGGAGTTGGTAATTGTGTCAAAACGCCGCCTTAAAAGTAGTTTTTTGCAGCGAGTGAACACTCCCCGATTCAATAGGAGATTGCAACCGGTTTTCTAGTCACGTAGGCCTTCAAGCGTACAAAGTGCTGATGTATATTTTGTACGAATGCGTTTAATTCCAATACTCCGATAAAAATTGTATCCGCTCGGAATAGGGAACGAAGCAAGAGTCGGAATAAGGACCGCAGCAAAAGCAGAGACAGGCACGAGTCCAAAAACAAACGTAAGGATAAAAAGGAAAGCGTACCTGATCATAGTGGCAACAACAGTGCGGATGCTTCTGAAACTGGTACGGAAAATGCCAATAACGGGACAGACTATACTTATAATAATAAGTACGCGCACAGCTCTCGCCGGGATCGATCTAGGACGTCACGGAAACGAAAGCAAGCGTCGCAAAGTATGTTTCAATGCATAATGGGTTTTAGGGGGGGAAAGATGTGTGTACATGTACAAATATCACCCCCGGAAGGTGGGTTGGGGGGGAGTTCATTCCGTTGTTTGAATAGCATACGAGAAGGGAGGGTATGCCACATATCGTTGATATCGACATGTATGAACTCTAAAACTACAGCATGTGTGTTTAGCATGACAATTAACAACATTTGCAATCGAATTCTATATTGGCTAACTCTGCCACAACAATACACTGGATTCTGTTATGACAACTCATCTGTAGATAGTGGTGGCGAAGACGAATATAATGACCATTGCACGCCCAAAGAAATGGGGCTGATCATGAACTATATCAGGCGGCAGGATCATGGGCAACTCACAGAAGCCTTCGAGGTGCTTCCCAGCCCCCAGGATGTACCTGGGTACTACGATGTTATAAACGACCCAATTGCGCTCAAGCATGTACAGGTACGTATTCTGCAGTATTACAAACAACTGATATGTACAATGGCTTAGTTAAGTGTGCGGTAAAACTTATGTGCGTAAAAGTTCATGCAACCGTGCATTTGGAATCAGTTTTATGCACGTGCATATATACCTACTTTCAGGCCGACTCTACGTGCTCGTGCAGACTTTTATCTATGCGTATGTGTGTATAGGAAGTATGGCCATATTTTATACATTCATTTATGTGCATGTGTGCATATGTACTTATGCTTGTTCGCTTACATATCGGGCATTGCGTGTATAAATGTTGATAGAACACAATGGAAATGTGCACTTTCTTATATATACGTGTGTACGAATTTGTATCATATGTATATAAGTGGGTGATAGAACACTTCTCCTTCGCAAAGATTTTTTCTGTATTCCTCAGAAAAACTAAACGCATGCAACATAGAATGTGTTCTATTATTAGTATAGACGTACCGTTTGTTTGAATTTGTATATGATCGTCAATTCAATTTATCTACCTGAGAATCCCATATAATAACATAAACCTGAAATGCGTTGTCTTTAAAATGAACGTTTAATATAGCTTCCACATTGCCTCAGGAACGTATTGATACCGGAGTGTACACATCTCGCCAAGGATTAAGGGAGGATATCGAATTACTAGTGAATAACGCACATATGTTCAATCCAGAGGACAGTCAGATATGTAAGAATGCCAGCAAGATACTGGTATGTGGATAATTACTGTGATAAACAAGAGTTTGTAGTCTGTAAATGTGCGAAACCCATTTCAGCGCTGGTATTGGCATTACTGTATAGAGCTACCTTGGCTGTGGTATTTATATTCTACATTATAATGCAGCCTGAGGCGTGGGTTCTCGACTAGCTTAGGGGTGTATCGTGTCAATGCAGCATCATTGAGATGAATAACAATTGACTTTTGAATCGCGTAAGAATGCTGTGCTGTCACGGACGAACACTATTTTTATCTGAAACTGACATTAAACCCATGGACATGTTTGTGCCTTTTCAAAAGCTTGCACCTAATACGTTACTATTCTTTTCGGACTAGTACGCGATCTGTATCCAGAAAAAAATAAACGATTCATAAGTTGCATTCGAACCAAAGTGCCCTACGTCGCGGGTACTCGGCCTAGATGACCCATTCTAATTCATAAACCAAACAACTCTATTAGTAGTCTCACACGCCCCACATTGAGTCTGCATCAAAGGTGCGGAACGTATCTGTTCTCAGGTTGTTTTTCAAACATTCAAATACGATTTTGCGACCTCTCAGAAAGCGTTTTTCAAGGGATGTGAAAAAGTGGATCGCAAACGGATGCGCAAAGTAAAGCGCCAGCGAGCCGCCGATGATTTAGCGGCGGAAGAACCTCAAAAAATATCATTTAAATTGCTGCAACCACACAAGCAACCACGGGTGAGTGTGCGTGAGTTGAGATATATGAAAGCAGCTACTTCGTATTTGTGTTTTGTGATCCTGAATTATCCCTACTTGAGTCGGCAATCCAAAAGGCTTTAGCCAGAAATGAACGGAGTCTGTCGTGATGGTCATGTGACTTTCTCATATCAATGGTTGTGTGTCAAATTACGAACCCACTAATCGTTTATGGGCTGTTGTACGAATACTTTTCGTAGTACAATTTTTCTTTTGAAACTTCTTCAGGCCATAGTAGATTGCCTTTGGGGTTTTATTGTACTGCTCATTGTCCACATTCTGTATTTTTATTTATTTATTTTGTAGGAGGATTCCGGGGGTGACAAAGATGATGAGAGTGACGAAGATCGGCCCAAACCTTCCACGGGACCAAAATTATCATTCCTCTTCAAGCAACCTAAACGCAGACCGCCCTCTGATGAAGAGGACTATTAAAGAGCGGGCCATACAATAGAGAATATATCAGACGTAGTATCTATCGAACAAGAAGGCATGTCACTTTCTAGCATTCGTGTACGCACTCGAAGTTCATGGTTTGCCATGATATGGACTTCTGCATAGTATAGTCTATCTCATGAGTCCAGGCATCAGCGTAAGTCAACCCTTAAAACCCTCAAATCAGCGTAAGGCCCGCACGTTGGTATCCCAAGACGGAGTGGGTTGCTTCCAACAGGTATTATCGAGCAACGACAAACGTGCTATCGCTACCACAGCACGAAGGCCGGTCACCAACACAATACGACCTCGGAAGTATTATTCTCAGTATGTACTAAATGCCGAGTATCACGATCTCCAGACAACGACTACGAGCAAGTTTCTATTCATGTGTGTTATTAGAACTGGAAAAAAATAGTCGAGGACCTAGCCAGTGACATTATGATGTATGTACAAAACCACATATGTACCCTGTTCTTCCCTGCATTCTGACTTATGCGTTGTGTACTGGGCAATGGTCTGATACTTGATACTTCGTAAATCTAGTTATATACAAATTTATGTAAATTATGCGAGCTCGATGAGTTGTCAACACATGTTTACCCATATATGCGTTACAATTCGAAATATAAAGTGGCGATTGGTTCGAATTATAAAGTGGCGATTGAGTTAATGACCAGAGACGTCATTTGAGGTTTAATCTGCAACGCTTGTGTAGTTTCAGTCGTACTGGTCGACGGTATTTTGAGTCGAACGCGCACGCACTGTTCGTCTCCATCATCGTTCGCGAGCGACAACAAGCGTACGGCTGCCAAATGAAAAAGCCATGTCTCGCAGATGCGTGCACCCTCGATTGACTGTGCCAAGTGTGGCACTAACTTCTCAGCCAAAGCACATTAATTGAGAATAATGTATGCCCCAGATGAACCACCGTAGATTCTTGCGTCTTGGAATTCGTTCCTACAGCCGAGGAGATTCATGCGACAAGCATACAAGCATAGTGCGTATGAAAGGGTGCATGACAATGTGGCATCGCCCTCACCTTTACTTGTGGTGTTTGAGAATATGTTTCGTCATATTTGACTTAATGCTGAAGGTTTTGTTACAGCCAGGGAACTCGCATTTGTACGGACGTTCGCCAGTGTGGACACGAAGGTGGGCTGTCAAGGTGACCTTTTGATTGAAAGACTTTCCACAGCCGGGATAGTTGCAGACAAACGGACGTTCACCAGTGTGTATACGCAAATGATTGCGCAGATAACGTTTGGCAGAAAACGTCTTGTCGCAACCAGGGTGTGTACAGACATACGGTTTATCATGCGTAAGCATGTGTTCAGTCAAGGTTCCCTTCCTGCTGAATGTTTTATTACATCCGGGAAAGAAACATGCGAAAGGACGTTCGCCACTGTGCGTCATTGAATGTTGTTGTAAATGATTCTGTTGTATGTACGTTTGCCCACAATCAGGAAACTCGCACTTATATGGTCGTTCACCAGTATGAATACGCTCGTGAGCTTGGATTGCACTTCCGTCTTCAAACGTAGCCTCGCAACCTGAGTAAGTACATGCGAATGGACGTTCACCAGTGTGTGTGCGCATATGTGTTTTCATTTGACTCCTCAGCACAAAAGATTTGTTGCAGCCGAGATATTCGCATTCAAATGGCAACTCACCCGCGTGTGTTCTCAGGTGCGCTTTTAAGGTATCCAGTGAGGTGAATACGGCATCGCAATCAGAAAACTCACACGTATACAGTCGTGCACCAGAGTGTGTGCGTGTGTGTGCAATTAAATCATGCCGTGACACGAACGTTTCGCCACAGGCCTGATATTCACACGCATAGGGGCGTTCTCCAGTATGAGTCCACATGTGCACTTGCAGTCTGTATGAATTTTGGAAGCTTTCATCGCAGCCTGACCAAGTGCATTTATAAGAATGAAACGGTTTGCCGACTGCTGTCGTTAAGGCTCGACATGTAGTCAGCGAAGGCGATAGTGAGCTGTTCGTGAACAGTAGAAAGTTGGGTGATGTATGAGCAGAACGCAATGCCATCAATGGACATCTCTGATCGTGAAATTAGAACCCACTTGAGAGACAAATATAATTTGGGCATGCTCCCGTCTGAAGTATATACGATACAAAAACAAGGGGTACATTGGGCAAGATATATATAAACAAATGTGTATATATATATATATATATGTGTGTATATATATATATATATATATATATATATATATATATATATATATATATATATATATATATATATATATATATATATATATAGTACTATATATATACTATAGTATAGTATATAGTATA